GGCAAAAAAACTTCAATAGGTCGGAAACACACCAAGTATTATTATATAAATGGTTAAATTTTTTTTTTAAATATCCAATCATTTTTATTATGATACATGATATACAAGATCGTATTTCTAGCACACTAAAAAAAATACTTGTAAATCTACTAATTCCAGCAATTTAAATACAACCTACAATGATTTCTTTCTAATAATTTGGTCAGCACATTCAAACAACAAATTGTCATTTTCACCATCAAGAAATTGATAATTTTATTATGTGAAAATTATAAAGTACCGTAATGTATGACATTTTGCGGAATTTAACAGTGAAGTATTTTGAAGAATTCAAACGTACATATGCTAGACTGAAAAGAAAACCACCTTGATGTTATGTAAATATTAAAACCTTGCTTCATTAGGGTTTGATTTCAAGACCAGAAGTATCACTTCTAGTTCTAGCTAGGTAAATTTATTTCACATACGAAACCCACCAGTGAAAATCATAAGACTCTTTTGCATAAAAGTACCTCAATCTGCAGTAAAGTGAAAACCCGCTCTAAAGATATTGTTGATGTCGTAACTTTTTCTCTTTTTTTATTTTTTTTATTTTTGATAAGATGCTGTCGCTAAAGTTTTAGGAGGAGGAAATACTTTTATATATGCATGTATATTGATGGTAACATTTGCTTTTATGTCTTATACTGTAGCATCGAGTAGCAGAATATTTATTCGTGCACATCCATATGCCAGTCCAATCAATTTGTGGGGCACATGGTCACCATGCATGTATATTCAAGAAACTCACGGTATTTTTATACATGATGCACAAAGTGATATGGTTTGTAATTAAAAAAGTTGATGTTTTATTATAAAATTAATTGGTAATATAAGGAGAATTTAATTTATCTTTACATTCTCAAACGCTTTATTCATGATGAATTTTCAAGTCAAACACGTGGACAACACGAATTAGGTGATGTGGAGCACGTGTAGCCGTTGAGTTTCACACTTGAGCTAACCTACTCTGATACCATGAGGAAAGTTGAGGTTCCACTATAAAACCAATTTGCATATGGAAAGTAGCCCAACCTCTTATAAGCCCTTGCAAGATTCCTATTTTCACCAATATGAGACTCTTAATTTACCTTCACATTCTCATATGCACATGTGTGTGGCGAATTTATACACACACACACACACACACACTATACATAAATACACACATATATACACACACGTTGTAGCGCCATACTAACTTTCTAAATGGTTAATGTCTGAACCTTGTATGCATACATATTGGATGTTATACCGATAGCGTAAGTGGGTTAAATTGCTAAATATTAAAAGGAAGGAAAATTAATGGGGATCAAACTTGCACCATATTGAATAGACATTATTACTTTCCATCACTGTGATAAAACGTCATTTGCCAACTCCTTTTTATTGTTGTCTAGGCTAAAATGTAGGATCTCAAAACTCCTTGAAGTGAAACATTTACTCCTCACAAGTTTCTCTCATTTAAACTAGGCTAGTGATTTGTTTTCACTTGTAAGTAAAAAATCTCAAGTTCAACTCACATGATCAAGTACACATAATATTTGTTTTGAATTTAATCTTAATTGTGACTAATTCATTGTTTAGCTTAACCCAATTCACCTTCACTTTAGAGTGCACAATAAAACCGGTGATTCAACCATCAAGCAAAACAATTAAGTTAATGGTAATCTTATAACCAGAAAAATGAGTTCATCATTTTAACCGATCATCTTACATGAATTAATTTGAGCTCAATTTCCATGCCGCAGTTTATTACAGCAGATATTGATCGAGTTGGAGCTCCCAACAGTAGCAAAGTAAATTAATAACTATATAAGTAATTAAATAAAGGAGAAGGTAGAGGAGGTCATTAAACTATGACCCTTGATCCTTTTGTGGTACTGACATTAATTGATCAATTAAATTGAATGGAAATTAAACGACTTCGACGTTTACAGAAAACCGGTGTAAATATATAAAGGCTTAAGAAATACGAAGATTCCTTTTGGTGGGATCCCTATAAATATGAATACATGTGGATGTTGACATATTGTGGACATATGGCTCCTGTTGTAAAAACGGCTAGCCAAATTGTCCCCTCCTTTTAAGCTGTTATGCACTGTACAAAGCCGAGCCCTAAGTGAGCTTTCCCTAATCTTCTTGTTTATCTGCAACACCATTAATTAATTTAATATATTTCGAGTAATGTTACACTTACTACATTGTTGTCGCCTCTCTAATAGAGGTAGTGTCCATCAACACATGTGTGTCTCATCTCTATTAGAGAGATGATACAAATGTGATATAGAAAATGTGGATCCCAACCTTACCACATATTTGTATCATCATTTGTATCATCTCTTTAATAGAGATGGAACCCACATATATATGTTGGTGGACCCTACCTCTGTTAAATAGATGGTATAAATGATATTGTAAATATAATGTAGCATTACTCTTTTTGTTCAATCCCTTGACATAATACATACATATACTAGCCTTTCTATGGATTCCGCTACATTGTTTATAAAGCGGGATAGATAGTAGTATTAAATGGTTCGTGATCACAAATTAACTATACATGTAGCAAGACATGGTTAATAACGTGTTCGCAAAACAATCAATATGAGGACACTATCTTATCTCACTCTCTAAATAGTGGAGTGGAATACTTTCCAATGATTTCATTTTAATGATTGGGTTTAAAATATTAAAATTTAAAAGTACATTCATTCATTCTCCAGTCTTGATATTGATAAACTTTTTAGGCTCAGTATGGTCCACCACTAACATCATCGATATTGTCTCAACTTAATCACTAATAGGCTGGTGTTAAGTATTATCTAAAAATGTCTCGGTGATGTTAGGGTGAAATCTCCTATATATTAATTGTAGATTTTTTTTTTGTCATATACTCAATGTGAGATCCTATTCTCCAACATATATTAAATCTGAATGTGAGTGACCATAAATTTTGTAACAAGTAAATTTGGCATGGTTATAAACTACCACATAGTTCCATCTAATAATATAAAGACGTGTAAATATTTGTCTACACCATATTACTAGCACAGAATAACACAATAGCGGTGTACCCATACTATATGCTTTCTTTCTCTAACTTCTTACATTCTCTCCTAATCAATTTATTCTATAGAAAGACTTAATCTTTGAAAAAAGATTACTTTTGGATTAGAACCTTGTGTAAGATTATAAACTAATTCTAGTCCTTTTACTCAATGTTCAAGTCAACATACATTTAATCAACGGCAAACTAAATAGTCAGGGCAAACTAAATTACAACCTCCTCCTCCTACTTCTTCGTCTTCTATTTTTCTCTATCATCCTTGCCTTCTATTTCTCTCTTCTTGTGTGAGTCTTTGTTGTGCATACCAAATGCTTGACGAAATGCCTCAGTTGACAAGCCTTTGCAATTTTCAACATTACTCTACAATTTCCTATAGTCACCCTCGACAAGCCTCAACATATCATAATAATTGTTGACATATGTTGGCAAGAATCGATAAGTTCCTACTAGGTGCTCGACAAAATGATCAAATGAAGGTTTTTTGGCATATTTAAAAAATCCTGACTCCGCCACTGCATTTTTCACCTCACATTTTATTTGTATTTTGAGATTTTGTTACTCTTTTTCTCCCTATAATAGTAATACCATGTGTTCACAGATTGTATTGCATTTAATCTTATTTTTCTTTTGATTCATCATAATGTATTTTGATATAGACATTTAGGTACACTAACTTTTTTTTTTAAATTGGTACACTTTGTGTTCTTTATTTAGGTACATTGTTTCATTTTATATATTTAAGTATAAAATTTTAGATACTTTAATTCATTATAATATTTCGCTAATACATTTAGATACATTAATATATATTTTGTTACAAATAGTTAAGTACAATATAATATATTGTAGTACATACATTTAGGTAAATCTTTTAATATGAATTTATTTGTTTTATTTTTTCTTACTAAATCGATATTTTTACATTAAAGAGAGAGGGAGTTCAGCTAACCACACAATGGGCAACCTAATTTGGTATTAGATTCGTCATCCACGAGATTCGAACCTAAGACATCTCACTTCCAAGTAAAGAGGAATATCACCAGACCATAGTACTGAGTAGCTTTTAATATATTTGGGTTCATTATGTATTTGCATTTCTATATGTGTCACGAATACGTTTATGATATGTTTTCTCATTTATAATTGGATGAAATTAAGCATAAAATTAAATATTGACGAGGAGAAATTTTTGGAATGAAAATACGCATTAGATATATAGTAAAAAAACTAGAATCAATATCTAATCTAACACTAGGTATTTGTTTGATTTCAAACTTATTTAATGATTAAAGTTCAAAATCCCCTTTATTTTGTCAGTAAAAGTTTGAATTGAAAGTTAATATTTATATAAATAGACGGTCCAGGATTCTCTCTGAATCATTTTTTGCGGATCCCGTTCGGAATAACTCATTATAGCGGTTCCCCACACATCCTGAGGCCAGAAATTATTTTTGGCTTCTCTTTTTTATTTGTCGCGTGGGGCGATAACAACCTAGAACCAGCAGCCACCGATCTCTCTCCGCAAAGTCATTTCCCACCCCCTTCAGCTACTCAACGATCCAATCCCTCAGCCACCCCACCTTGCAGGCGGCCATCGCACTCTTCGTCGCTGGAAAATGTCCTTCTATTTATCTCTTTCTTTCTCGAAATACGGGCCGGTTCAAGGAGTTTTAGCAGGCAAAGATTAGGGTGTGGTAAAGAAAGTGGAAGAAGAAAGGGAAATAATAATTAAAATCTAATCACATGAAATGAATCAAACGGCCAAGATGACTTGGTCCGCAAGATTTGAAGGCATATAGATCCGGAGATAAATGAATACTCTTGTTTGTTAATGTCTCTGAAAGAAATTAAAAATGTTGATGCGCTAAGGAAAACAAACAAAAAATATAAATGCATCCAGAAAGATCAAGGACTAATTTATAACCATTTACTCACAATTTACACCACCAACCCCATGAAAAAGAAAACCAAAATGAAAATTACAACACTAGTTGAAAACTGTCTATTATTTATCGTGGAACTCGAAGTTGATAAACCCTCTTTATCTCTTCCTCGTGACCTTATTATTTAGAGAGAAAAAAATAAATAAATAAATTATAAATAAACATATTATAACTTGATACCTGACTGTAACTCTCCTCTTACCAGTCACCACTCACCTTCACCATTTGCCTCTCTTTTAAATTTCTTCCCAAAATTCAGGACCCGCCACATTGTATTTGACCCACTCACCCGTCCGAAAGCCCTGCAAAATCTGACCCACGTTCTTTGAATCCATGTTATGTTGCCCATTTTCTAAGTCATGACTCAGTCATTCAGCTGTTGCTGCACCCACTGAAGCTGGTTTGTTTGCCACTATCTCATAGTTCCCATCTCCTTCATCATCATCATCATCCTCCTCCTCCTCATCCTCCTCCTCTTCATCCTCCTCATCATCATCATCATCACCGATATTGTTCTCTTTATCTTGCTGATCATGATGATCCTCCCCTTGATTCTGATGATGATCAGTACCCGTCATCAGTCCCTGATGATCTTGCTGCTGGTGCGGCGGTGGCTCAGGTGGCCATTGTTGCTCCGGCCTCACCATCAGAGGTACCGAATTTTCGGGCTTGAATTGGCTCGAAGAATTAGTAGTACTAGTACTATTGACATTGTTCTGATCAAAATTGTTCCTCTCTCTATACAAACTATCTAGCAGGTGAAAGTAGGGACATGTCTTCGAATCCTCAGGCCTTCTCTTGTTGCTTTCCTTCACTTTCTTGAAGTACTTGTTAATGTTCTCCCACTTCTCCTTGCACCTTTTTGCGTTCCGATTGTATCCGAGCTTCCTCATTCCTCCCGAGATTTCCTCCCAAAGCGGCCCTTTCGGTCCATTCTCTTGGTACTTAGAATCAAGGCTGGTTCTCAGCTTGATCAACGCCTGTACCTCCACTTTCGGCCATCTTGATGAGCTCGGTGGCATCATCAAATTATCGTTCTCCCCATTGTTGTTTGATTTCGGAACAATGTCAAAGGTCGTCACCTTCTGTTGTGGTTGTGCTTGTGGTGGTGGGGCAGGCTGCCGCAGTGGAAGAGGAAGTGGAGCTGGTTGTAACGGTAGTTGCTGTGACTGGTTCGGCGTGCTTTGGTTTTGGTTTTGATTTTGGTTTTGGTGCTGCTCGGATACCTTTTGCAAGAATGACATGACCGCGGCATCTTTGGCTGCCTTGATTGATCGTTCTTGAGCTAAAATCTCGTGCTCTCTATTGATTCTTGCAATCTCTTGCATTCTCCACGCTTCTTCTCTTACAATTCTTTCTTGTTCACGTTTCTCGATGGTCTCCAAGAATCTCTTCTGAAGATCCTCTTGCTTCTGTATCACATCCTTCATTAGTCTCTCGAAGAAGTCCTTCCATTTCCTCTTCTTCTTCGCCCGCCCTTCCAACTCCTCGTCAGACGAGGTGGAGGAAGAGGCGGAATTGGAAAGGAGGTCAGTGGGTATGGTTGGAAATGCAGTGTGCTGCTGCTGATGATGATAACTGAGATTGCTTGTAGGGTTTGTTGTTGTTGGTTGAGGCGGCGGAGGTTGTGGCGGTGGTGGAAGAACTATTGGGTTTGTTGGTGGGAATGAACTGGGGAGTGTGAGGTTATTAAGTGTTGGTGTTGCAATGCCTTGAGAGGACACAGTAGGAATTGTAGGGTGCGGGGCAGCTGACGATGGAACAGTAGTACTACTATTGAGATGAGAAATGGTTGGGGGAGGGTTAGCCATTGCCATTGTTGTCATTGTTGCCGCAGCTGCCACCGTTGTAGACTGATGAGGCTTAGGTTGATGATGAGTAGTAGTATTGCCCGGAGTCGGAGGTTGATTTTCGAGGGCGTTTAACTGATCGAAAAACCGATAAGTCTTGCCTTCGGACTTGCCGGTGCGGCCTTCTTTGGTTCTCCTGTGGTACTTGTAGACGTTCTCAAACTTCTCCTTGCATTTCTTGGCGCTTCGATGATAGCCAAGCGCTGCTAGCTTGCTGAATGATAAGAACAGTTGCACAAAAATCAACACACATAAAAATTAATAAATTAAACATATTAACTGTTTATCTTGAATTCAGCAACAAAAACAAAGCATTTACACATAAAATTTTGAAAAATTATGATAAATAAATATATAAGAAATTAACATCCAGCTAACGCTGGCAGGAATATTTCAGATATATACACACACACACACATATAATAAGAAAGACAAGAAGGGATTCATTGATGAAAGACGGTAACCTCTTCTGGAAATTGTATGATCCAATTATTGAAAGAATTGATTCCATTTGTCTTAAATTTCTCTGTACTTTTTTGTGGAATTTATTATTATTCCCATTGTTGATTCCGTAATTTCTTGAGATAGACCAAGGAGAGGTAAAAATTAAAACCAAATGAAAGACACAAAAAATGAAAACAAAAATAAAATTACCCAAAAGAGTAATTAAACTAAGTGAAGAACTTGAAATAGATCATAATTAAGCAAACAAAACAAAATAAAAATATAGTACAAAGAAATGAAAATTTCTATCAGTTCTCCTCAGATCTCAACCCCCTATGGATCCAAAAGAGCTCAAATTCTCACTAAAATTAATCAAGAAATAAAAATTAACAAAAACAAATTAGCAGTAGATAATTAGCTAGTTTTTATAGATATGGTAATTAAAATTTAACCTGGAAACCTCTTCCCATAAAGGACCTTTAACACTTGCATCACGAAACGCCACGTCCATTTCAGACCGTATACGCAAGAGAGCTAAAGTCTCTTGGCGCGGCCACCGATTGCCACCGAAGCTCCTCTCGCCACCTCCTAACAATTCCTCTTGACCACCTCTGAACGTTTCTTCACCTGAATTATTATTCGAGCCATCGCCGCTGCCGCCACCACCTTCGGGAGCTGCCACAGCTGCAGCCGCAGCATCGCGGCCGATGGAGCTCCCTAAGACACTAGTAGATTCCCCCAGCATAGGACCAGCTGGTCTACTTCCCCTTTTTCTTCTCTTATTACTCACCTCTAGCTATAATAAAACTAACAATTACGACTTACAGCAGCTGATGGAAGTTTATAAAAATATATCACCCACACGAGAGAGAGAGAGAGAGACGGAGAGAGAGAGATGGTGAATTCTGTACAGAAGGGTTTTAAGAAGACGAGTGAAGGGTGAAGTTAATTTATTTCGGTGGGATCTGCTTCTCGATCTCAAGGAACTTGTTTTTCTTTTCCCTTTTTATTATGTATACACACACACACATATATATATCTCCTTCTTTTTTTCTTTTTTTCTGTGGAATCTTTTTTTTATTTTTTTATTTTTCTGTGTAAGTTGGTAAAAAGAAATAAAACATTATTGGATCATTTTCCTTCTTTTTTTTTTCAAAAATGTATTATTTCAGAAGGAAAAGATATATATAGATATATATATATATATATATGTATGTATGTATGTATGTATGTATGTATGTATGTATGTATACGTAGAAAGAGATTATTCTTTTTTCGGTGGTAGTGTTACAACAGACATTTTCTAACAGCTGCACAAAGAGACGATGATGATAATAAGTTGGTTTTTGTGTGTCCAGCTAAATTTAGTTAAAAAGCCAGCCCATCTTGGTCAGCTTTTTTATCTCTTTTTTTCTTTTTTTTAAGGATTTTTTTAATTTTTGTGTTAATGATTAAGATCATTCATATATAAATTATTCCGTACGTCTTTTAAAAATTCAATTAAAAATATTTAATCATAAAAATTGATGAAGAGAATAAGTAAAATAAAAGCCGTCCCGTTTAGGTCAGCTTTTTCCTCTTAAGGATATTTTTTATTTCTATTTATTTACATATTTTTTAGGCTCAGTGGCCGTTGGGTGCAATTGGGTTAAATTACCACTTTACTCCCAACGTGAGTCCCATTGACCTTTAATCATTGAAAGCTAATCTGGTGACGTATATTTTATTGGATATGTACTATTGCAGATCCAGGTTTTGTTTATGTAATTCAGAGTTTTTTCGCTTAATTAGGTAATCGTGGATTTACCAGAACACCCTTGGTTTAAAAGAAATTTCAAAGTACATAAAAATTATTGGCATGATATTGTTGACCATATATTTTAAGGTGAAGGGAGTATTCGAAATTGGTTCCTTAATTTAGCAAAATTGTTAGTATTATTACATATTTGTATCATCATTTATAATATTTTTTTAATAGAGATGTGATCCGTGTGCATTATTTTTATTAGATATATAATACAAATATGTAGTAAATGTAATATTACTCGTAATTTAAAAGATGAGGAGTTTCGAATATGGCATGCATGGATATAAACTCAACATTCTATCCATTAAGCTATTAGACCACATATTATCGACCATATTTTTTCACTACATGTAAAGCGATATTCATGTGGAATCCACTCTTGCAAGTAAATTTCCTCGATTTTGTTGAAACATACTCATATATATTCTCTGTGAATCCAGATATAATATACACTAAATTAATAACAATAACAAAGAGGAATTTAAACTTGGTTGGTAGATGAAGGAGCATACAAATCTAGCAAACTTGACTGAACCAAATTTTTTGTTGTTTGCCATTTTGTTTTGGTAAAAACTTATAAATGCTCAAACTTTTTTTAACAAACGATATTATCTAAAACTACTAAATATTAGTATGTTAGTAATATAGTATATTATGTAGTATTATTCTAAATTAAAAAATTTAATAAGAAAAATGCCCCTAATATTTTTCAACTAGTTGGGTGGAAGTATAACTGTAGAATATGTCGCCTAAGGGGCCTCTTGTGATTGTGACAATCAAAGTTCGACAAAATTATATTCTTGCAAATTGAGCAAAGAAAATAATTTCTTATCGGGTAATACTAGGAATGCTAAATTTATAGAAAAAATTTTGTAAACTAAATGACATAGATCTGATGATTTGATTGTTACTTAAGCGTTGAGAAACGTACTCATACCTATTAATGACAAATAATTTAGTTTGCAATTTTAGTCTGCAAATTAAGTCTCCTTATCGTTACCCATTTGTTATCTTAAAAGAGACATTTAGGAGTGGGATCCACTGTTGGAATTAGTTCAATTAATCTTTCTTTGGTTAGATGTAGGCCATTTTATTAGGCCAAAGCCATTTATGAAAAGGAGTAAATGGGGGCCAATTTTTCAGTTGGGTTATCGACCTACCACAATAAATTTTGTGGAATTTTGGACGGCTGTGATCTAATCATCAACGAGGATGCGGAAATAATTTGGACATTTTTGGGACCATTAGCTTGTGATTTAATTCAATGTGTTCTCTAATTGTGTCATGATCAAAGCATTGTAGCCACACATACACCATTTGTGCCACGACTGTACACACTATTACTATGGTTACATTTCTCTTTCGTATTTTAAATTCCACTTGGAAACGGAATATGACTTTTGCTTTTTTGTTATGAGGTTGTTATGAATTGCAAACTTGTTTTCTTAACATTAATATTTTTGACCCTTCATGCATTAAAAAATTATAATTTTCCAGAATATCTAACATGTACAATAACTCTGAGTCATAAGTTCCAGTTACAAATACGACAACATCACATGTTACACTGTTAGATAAGTTTCGAAAACATTGTAAAACGTGTAGCTTGAGAACTTGTCTGGATATGTTACATGCGTGAGATGTTATACATCTAAAATCTCTTCAATTAAGTTTATTAAAAACGTTATTTATTAATATAGTTAATTATCACGGTTAGGAATTATGCCCTCTTACCGTGTCAAACAAATAAAACTTCATTCTTGTGCCATTATCTTAGCCAAAGGTCAAGAAATGAGTTTTGACCTAGTGGGTTGCAATTATGGGTAGTTTTCTTTTTCGAGCTCATAAAAATCCATGAAAATTTATAATACTCTTTAAAGTACATGGTGGACTTTATGATCAACTGATGTTCTTAAAATAAAGAGAAATGCAAAGTAGACGCTCTAAAAAAATGTTATTTTTTATAAATTCTTTGCTATCTCATATTTTTTTAGACAATGTTTTATAATGTCGAAATAGTATTTAACGTTAAACTGTAAAGTGACAGAAAGTCATGAATAGTTTTACTTTGAGAGAGCCTCCTTAACATTTCTCTAAAGTAAAATGTATATTAAAGACAAGAATATGATAAAAGATCATACATGGTTGCATAATACAACGTTTTTCTTTAAGATTTCAAATAAATTACAATAAATATTATCGACCAATCTTTAATTTTTATCATTGATCCTATATTCGGTTTAATCATTTTCCGAATTTAGCATATACAATGGTTTTGGGAAAATATATTGGCATAAAAAGGCAAAGTGAAAAAAAAAAAAATATATATATATATATATATATATATCAACTTGTGGGGAAAGGAAGAAGGAAAGGGAAATCAAATTTTTGAAAACATTACAATTTGCAATCAATTCCGTAACTCAATTATTGAGGTGAAAAAACAAGTGGATTGCCCAACCCATATAATGCAACGAGGTGGGACCCCCTTGAATCAATAAGCCATTTAATGCACAAATCATCGAAGATTAACTTTTTATGTTTACACACTAGGATTAGTGAGTTCAAATTTTTTGTATTTATTTATTTTATTTGCGAAAATATTTTCTAACGTGATAACACATATCAATTAATAATAAAATTAGAGGAAATCTATCAAAAAAAATAAAATCAGAGAAAACCAAAACACGAAATAAATGTAAATTCGCCTTCACTAGTAAATAAAAATGGAAGTTAAAAACCCAAAGAACGTGAAGATTGTGTGATGAGAGAAATTTTTAGTTGTGATGGAAATACGGATGGTACATCACTTGTTTTTATGCAAGTGTAAAAAATTTTAATTTTTAAATTATTAACCTTTTAACACATATAATCCACCATTTATATAAGGAGTTGTGTGATCATCGTGTGATGAGGGTAATTATTTTGGGCCAACCGAATAGCGTAAGCGATTGGTTAAAGCGATCAGCAAGGATGAGGAGAGGGGCATATTGGTAAAATGATTACGAAGAGGTGGAGTAACACGTAAGGTAAACGTGAAAGGATGAGCACCGTCTATTTTTAATCCTTATTTTGGACAAGGGTAAACCTTACGTAACTGATAATGATAAAAATTAGTTACAGTCACCATGTGTTATCATTTGTTTAAAAAAAAAATCACTTTTAAAATATGCTTTTACTGGCACTAACTAGTTTTCCATTTTCTTTACAAACTATAAGAATAGGATATGAGTAGCCACTATAGCACTACGAATTAGTTAATAGTTTTTTCCTTTTTTTTTTTTTTTTTTTAAGATGAATTGTCAATTTAGTCTTTAAATTATTAATATAGTGAAAATTAGGTCTTTAAACTATTTTTTTTTTATAAAATCAGTCCTCAAGCTAATAAAAATATGCCAATTACATCCCTAATATTAGATCAAAGTTATTCTATTCACTTTTTCGTCAAGTTAAGTTATGTGACTTGCATGTAATACACTTTAGAGGGTAGATTGGAAAATTTTCATAAGTTAAAGACTTATTTTCTTCGAAGAAATAATGTATGGAGTTAATTTCAAAGGATAAATTGGACATTAAATTCGCAACTATATGCGACATTAAAGGCTCATAGGCTAGAAAATAACAGCATTAATGATAAATTAGACATTAAATATCATCTAAAATGTGTCATGTGACTTAAACTGATGAAAATTGGATAAAATAGCTTTGAATATAATATTATGAATGAAATTAGCAGTTTTTAATGAATACTGATACTTATTTTACCCCAAAAAAAAAAATTAAGGACCAAATTTTAACTGAGGTGATAATTCAAGGACTAAATTGAAAGTTCCCCCCTTCTCTTATTCTAGGTGTGAATTTTAAGTTTGACTTTCATTACAATAGAATATGAATTTAGTATCAAATTAGGCATGGCTTGTGGCTTACTCCAATCTCTTATGCCCAATATCGATAAATAACAAATGAACAAATGATAGGATATTCATGA